CGCTTTGTGACGCCAGCGCGTGTTCCCCGCCCTTAAAGGGCCAAGCGGCTTGAGGGCCGAGGGTGGCCGCAGGGGATGCCCTTGGCCCCAAAATGACGGTTGTGCGGCTTGATGCCGCGGTTCCAAAGGCGTGCCCAGGAAGGGAGCTCTGGTCCTAGAACTGTCATCGCCCTCCTCCCCCTCTGTGTATCCACAGGCCTCCGCAGCCATCCTTGGAGAGCCCTGATCCTCTGCAGGCCTCCACCTCCCCCCATCCCGTGACACACAATCGCGGTTCCGGCACTCAATAGATGCTTGATGAGGATGTGCTGAGAATGTGGGTCTTATAGGTGGGAACAAGCATCCCCACATCTCTTCTGCAGGTCTGGGCCTCACGCCATTGTGTCTTTGGAGAGCAACTCACTTGAGGGGTTGGGGGACAGTTTCCCATCCGAGAGATGAGGAATGCAGATAAGCCAGTTTCTACTTACGTTCTTAACTGCAAAGAGGAACTTGTGTTAAATAAAGAAATAATAATACAGACTGAACCTGGGTTCTTGGTCCTTTTCTCTGATTTGGGGCAAGAGCTTTGGCTATCCCCCAGTTTACCATTTGTAAAATGATGTACTTGGTTGAACTTTGACCCCCTACAGATCCTTTCAGCTTGAAAGTCCCCCTAGAACTGGGAGACTTTTAAGATAATCATGACTGCAGTGAGATGCAGACACAGTTTGCAATCTCTGTGATTTAGAATGCCCCTTTCTCTTAGGAAGGCACATCCTGTGATAACTGCCAGAATGTTTCCTAGAAAAGCCAGGATACTGTGAGTTCCTTCCACACACACTTAGAATTTTGGTATCAGAAAGATTCTTGGTTCCAACGCTGGCTCTACCGTTTACATTTTATTACCTCTTCCTTTTTCATAAGCTTCTGTAAAAGAAGGTTAATTATACCTAACATAAACAATTGTAAAGATTCAATGAGATCATCTAGATACAAAGTTTAGCACAAGGCATTGCTGTATTCTGGTTACCACCACCTCCATTTTTTAATAGACTTTTTTTAAACAACGGTTTTAGATTTATAGAATAACGCAGAGGATAGTACAGAGAGTTCTCATATGCCTGGCACTCAATTTCCCCTATTATTAATATCTTGCATTGGTATAATACATTTATTACAATTAATGAGCCAATATTGATATATTATTATTAACTGAAGTCTGTACTTACATTTCCTTAGTTTTTACCTAATATCCCTTTTCTATTCCAGGATCCCATCCTAGACACTGTACTATATTCAGTTTTCATGTTTTGTTAGGGTCCTCTTGACTTTGGCAGCTTCCCAGACTTGACGATCTTAAAAAGTTTTGATGAATACTAGTCAAGTATGTTGTAGAATGTCCCTCAATTAGAATTTGTGATGTTTTTCTCATGAGATTAAACTGGAGTTTGGGGGATTTGGGAGGAAGATTACAGAGGTAAAATGATATTTTTATCATGTCATATCAAGGGCACATAATATCAACATGACTTATCAGTGTTGATATTGACCTCAATCACTTGGCTGAGGTAGTGTGTCAGGTTTCTCCATCCTAAAGTTACTCTTTTTACTTTACACAGTACTCTTTAGAAGGAAGTCACAATGCACAATCCACAATGAAAGAACTCCTTTTTTTTGTTGTTCTTTTTTTCTCAGAGATGAAGCTTATTCTTTCTATTTTAAAGATTCATTCCCTAGCTCTCAATTCTATTCTCCAGGTCTTGAGACCAAATTCCACTGGAATTAGAGCATGTAGCATCTTAGTCAAAGCAGCCCCTCCTCCCCAAATGATGATGTATAACTAGTTCTGACTTCCCTTCCTCCACCACTCAATTCAGGGACAAGAAGATTGCTGACCTGGAAACATGGGAGATGATGTTGACACCTTTAATAGCAAGGCTGTGAATAGATAAATAGGCAGAAAGTTCATCTTCAAAGTATTTCACCCACATAAACTCGTCATAGCCCCACCCTGACCCAGAAGATGGCCGATCCCTAGCCTAAGTCGCTGAAGCATACACCTGGCACCAAAACCGGAAGCTGCTCCCTGGACTCAAACCAACTCACAAACTCATACTAAATATTCACAATGGTCATGACCCTAAGGTGGGTGGCTAATAAACATAATTCTGTTAGGGAGGCTCACAGCCTAGTGTGTTAATGGGTTGTGTACTTATGACTCCATTCTCAGGGCAGAGGAACTCAGATTCCACAGAACTTGTCTCATGCCTTTTTATCTTAGCAGGTAAGACATTGTTTATCAGTAGATTGCAACTGTGTCTTATTCATCCTTGGATCCTCAGCAACTAGCACACTGTCCGACACACTATTGACACTAAGTAATTGTTCTCATGGGCTCACAGCCAAGGTCAGGAAGATAATCTGTAATAAGGACAATGACAACAAAAAAATCACAAATTGAATCCCACTCTCAACCCCAATGTCTAATAGGATCTCTCAGACACATAATAGGTTCTCAAAATTATAAATTCCATGACAGCAGGTCTTGTTCACAACCATATACAAGCTACTACAATGTTTGGCACATAGTGGGTATTCAAAACGTATTTGTCAAAGAATAAATGACAGAAACAGCTTTCTGTAGCTTTCTCATAGTTTCATAATGACAGGTAGGGTGACGACTGATTGGTGCCCTCTGGTGGCAAAGAAAACACATTTACCCTCAGTCTCCATGGCATTACCTAGTACTCTCCAACCAGGGCTCTTCTGAAGAATCTATTACCATTCTTCCAAAAAGAAAAGATGTGGAATCTTGTTAAGATAAGTGAAAAGGAGGGGTATTTGTTTTATAAAGCTTAATTCTGACCTTATAGAGTAACTTTTTAAAAGGGGCCACCGTTTTTTTTCATTGTGCATATGTTAACACATGTAGGTCTTGAATAGTGCTCTTAAGGAGCCACAATCTTCCTTTAACGACAACAGCTAACATTTGCTATGCATCAGCATGTGACAGACTCTTCACTTGCAGTAAACCCCATTTAATTTTCACTAAAGTCTTTGACATGGTCATTACTAGAGTACCTATTTTGTTGAGTATATTAAGGCTTAGAGAGGTTGAGAAAGTTACCCAAGGTCCCCCATCCAGTGAGTGAATGGCAGAACCTGAAGTTGAACTTTGGCCATCCTACTTTAGTGTAACTGCTTTTAACCACCATGCTGTAATGTCCCTAGTTCCTAGTCTAAGGTGCCCAGAGCATTCCATACATACCATACATATCACCCCCAGTGCTATACTGCAACTATTTGTTTGCATTTTTCTCCCAGCCTCTGAGGTACTCTTAAGAAAGAGTCATTCATTCATTCAACAAATACTTATTGAGTACCTGCTATGGGAGAGGCCTTGTGCTAAATGCCAAGGATACAGTAGCCAATGAGACAGAAATGATTGGGCACTGCCCTCCTGGAGCTTACATTCTAGTGGCTGAGACAGAAACAGACAAAAACAAGTAATTAGTACACAAATAGTATCATTAGTTTTTGTGAATACTAACAAAGGTGATTAAATGGAGGGCCTAAGACTAAAACGGTTGGGGTGGATGTGATTTTAAATGGAGGCAAGGTCAGAAGAAACTGAGGTTACATATAAGTGAATAGAAGGACCAGCTTGTGAAATGTGAAGGCAAGAGCATTATTCATCATGTCTTATTTATCTTTATCCTTGACAGCACAGGGCTTGACATTTCTTAAGTGTCATCCAGTGTGGAATGAACAGTTAACTAATCTGTCTCACCTCTTTGGTCTTCCCCAGACTTCAATGATAGAGCTGCCTCCTCTCAGTCAATTCAAATTCAAATCATGCTTCAAGATTTAGCACAAGCCTCATCTCCTCCAAAAACTTCCTTAACAATCAAAACAAAAAAAGACAAATGAACTTATTTACAAAACAGAAACAGACTCACAGACATAGAAAACAAACTTACAGTTACCAAGAGGGAAGGGGATGGAAAGGGATAAATTGGGAGTTTGAGATTTGCAGATACTGACTGGTCTGTATAAAATAGATAAACAA